GACAACAAAGGTAGCCTAGTTGATCTGGCCAATCTCTAGACTTGTGACCAATAGGGTTTTGTATATAAACTACTCAGTCCCAAGTCTTGAGTTAAGCTTTTCCAAACTTAGTTACTGTATTTTACAATTCCTAACAGAACACAAGTTGTGTTATAGTAAGTAGCTTAGTAAACTATTATATTATTATTACTCAGATTAAAGTACTGTAATCTTCTAATCAAATAAAACATTAGAGTAATCAAAGTAATAATCTTAGAAGACAGTCAGAAATCTTAGAACTCTCTACACTTTGTCTATACTAATCAGATAGTAACAGTATGAGAACCTTCTACTTTTTTTAATATAAATCTTACTTTTTCTTTTGTATAACATTTCCTATAGTTAGAATATAGACTACTTAAATTTTCCTTATACATTTTTACCCTATTTTCTTCTAACCTTTAGTAAAAGGTTCTCTTATTTGTTCTTGTATATTTTGTTATTTTTCTTTTGTTTAGCTATAACATTTCCCTATTAGTACTATACTTTTCTAGAACTTAGAAAACTATAAATACAGTTACTTATATACTAGATACAGAGGAATTTAGATAGTTTACCTATTAATTTAGCTCTTGTCTTTTGTCTTAAAGTCCTCTAGCCTAAGACATAGTCTTAGTCTTTATTGTTTCTGTATTAGTTTGTTTGTTGTGTACTTTACAAAGTGTACTTTCTGTTATTCATGTCTCTCTTCTAAGGTTGTAACTATGTTAGAAGAACTTACACCTGTTTAGAACCACTCTAGTCTTATAAGACTTGTAGTTTAGCTTCTCCTCAAACTTAACAAATCACCTGTGTTCTTCTCTTAAACACTATACAGGAGTTTTAGTAGACAAGCTACCTCTTACTAACACACTAGCTTGTATGAATCAGATTTTCAAAAGAGCTAAGAAGGAGCTACTAGTAGAGAATCTGTAGTCTCTCTTAGATAAATTAAAGAGTACCCTTTATCTGAAGGAGGACTATTATAATAGGGGAGAAAAAACAATAGAGTATACTATTAACAAATTTATTAAAGCTAATGTCTCTACAGATCCATTTGTTAATAAGACTTTTACAAACTTCTATATTCTTTTAAAATAGATAAAGGCTCTACAGTTAGTCTAGCCTAGTACTACACATTCATTGTCTAGTACTACTCAGTTATTGTCTAGTACTACTTAGCTATTATCTAACACTACTTAACTATTATCTAGTACTTTAAGACTCTTATCTAGTATGTAGTCAATTATAACAAGACATACAACTAGGAAACATACATTAGAATGAAGTATAAATGATAGAGAAAGGACAGCTTTGTATAGTGTATAATATAGTCTTTTTACAAGTAACCTGTGTATATTATTATTAGTAGTGTGATTGTTTTACTAGTTACACTCTATCTTACTTTAAACATGTATTATATACATTAGAATAATACTATTTACTCTAGTACAAGTGCTTGACTAATTATAATACTAGTCTTTAAAATAAAAATGAGTTCTGTCAAACTTAAGAGCTATAATAAGTAATATTCTATATCAACTCAGAATAGTGTCTCTATAACAGTACATTAAGGCATTTATAGCTCTCTATAAGCTAGGTGACTATACTTGAATATTATACTTTTTTTTTAAGACTGATTTCAGATTTTTCTGCAGGCTATTTCTTGTGCTAGATTTTTTACAGTGTTGAGAGAGAATGTAATAGACAGTAGTTACTTGTACTTCCTTTTTTTTTACAATTTAACTTCATCATTTTTTCTTGATTTTCTTGAATATTCTAAAGTACTCTATATAGAAGAAAATTTACACAGTTATTTAGACTTAATGAACTGCTTCAGTATTGAGAAAATTACACTTTTGTCTGTTTTTTTAAATTTTTGAGTGTTGTGTTACAAATCACACATGTTGTAATTTTGCCAACTTTTTTGCAAACAGTAGTAAGTACTATATAAATAACTACTTATAAATATGCTCAGAACTGTTTAAATAAGAATAATATAATATATAATAATTTATATATACTTATAATTGAGTATATGTATTTTTCAAAGTTGTAACTGTATACAGTATAGTTTAAATCACAATTATAATAAACATACTAAACTGTACTCAATACTTATAGTTAATAATACTAAAATATTCAAGATTTATTCAAATCTGTAGAGAAGTAGGTAGACTCTATATAAAACTGTACAAGTACTGTTCAACTAATATAAATAACATAGTCCAACAATATCTTTATGTGAACACAAGTCTTTATATTCACATTACTATTTTTCTTATATTTTATCTACTATTTGTAATACTTCTGTAAAGCAAATATATACAAAACTAATAACACATTAACTACTTTAATTTATATATTTTTATTTAATGTTCTCTAATAATGTCACAAGTGTATCTGCAAATAGACAGACTACATATATAGTAGATGTCTACATCTATTACTCAGATATTCAAGTCTAACACATATACTCTAATAGAATCAAAGGTGTTTATTCTGTAAACAACTTTCTTTTAATATTAATTCTTTATTACTTTTTCTTTAAACCTGTACTGTCCTTATGCTTTGATCGGATTGTTAGTGACTCTTGACTGTGTTTCCTCTCACCAGCTCTGTGTTCACCCATGCCTACTCCTCTTTGACTTATAGAAGTAGTCGATTTTCCATGACTGGTACTCTTACTATCAGTTGTAATACTACTCAACCAGGGCTACAAATATATATTGAGTGTCAGTCTGTGTTTCTCAAGTTTGATAGATGGACACAATCATACATCATGGAGGGCATTTGTTGCTGATAGTCTTTCATTCGGGTCCACATTTAAACAGCTTCTAATAAATTGCTTTGCTGAATAACATTTTGACTCATTAGGAACTATTACTATTGTCTGTGTATAATATTACTTGCTCACCTGCAGGAGGTATTTCCGAAAAGCGGGGCGATTCTAAAGTGTTCTGAACCATCTCATTATTCATATTCTTCATAAGGTTGTAAAGATAAGATCCGGAAATTTTTTTAATCCCATTTAATTCTAGTAAATATCGAGGAAGCTGTACTGCAGCAAGAATCTCAAGTGTAATTATTCTGGAAATACAAATCTGTGTCTTTGTTCAAGAATAGCTCATGACTTACATACCCTATTCCCCACATGTCTCCTGCCTTTGAGAAGTCTGACTTACAATATACCTCAGGAGCCATGTATATTGGCGATCCACATGTGGTACGATCTTCCAAGCGAATTTCTGTTTCTACTGCACTATGGGCAAATTTTAGAGAAGGGCGACAAATTGTACAAATACTTTTTAGCCTACAAGCCGAAATCTCCTATCAAGAGATGATCACTAGTGAAGGGGGTAGATTTATCATAAGCATTCTTTATAAAGAAGTTACCAGGTCTGATGATGATCGAGATTAGTAATACAGATATTACGTTCGATGTTGCTGAACTCACTTTATATCTCTATGAATAAGGTCTTCTGAATGAACATAAGCCAGGCCAGCGACTTCTTGTCTTTGAGTAGTAGACAAGATATAAATTAAGCTTGTAAGGTACAAGGAAACGAGATGTTACCTTGTATAATGTATTGCTTCCTCTTCTGTCAACATGTATCTGCCGCTGTTCACCATGCGGTCATCGATGTTTCCGCCAGCTGCAAACTGAAGAACAAGAACCCATGCCCGCTTGTTTTCAAAGGCCCCATAGCACTTCATCTTACGAAAGGAATTTCTTCAGAGGGGTTGATGATGGAAGCGAAATGTAACATAACGACATACCACATTCTCATGTCTAAGCTTTGAAAGTACCTTTGCTTCGTGTTTTGCGAACCCTTCAATACGTCTCTCCGTGAAAACATCTCTGGGCCAAGTCTCTTTAGGTCCATGCATCTTTGTGATTACTTTTGCAGCAAATACTTTATTCTTATGTTTCGACTCCTTAGCGTGTAGTTCGGACTCGGGCCGTTCTACTTGCTATTGAAGGTATCGGACGAATCAGTAGAAGAACGCGAAGTGCCAGTAGAATTCATCTCCACAGTCACACAAATGGACTCACATAGACTATACTAAACGACCCAGTGCCAAGCGGTTTTTGACCCTTGTGTCGCAGTGCACCTGTACTACCTTCCTTGTTCAATGGCTTGAGCCATTCGTCGTGGAAATTCGGAGCATCCAAATCGGTCTGGCCAAGAGGCACTAGGTCGGCTAGATGTGATTTTGCATCCATCCGTGTGTAGCACAGGTGCTGTATTTCTTAATCGCGCGGTATCAGGAATGGTTCGAAGTCGTCAGAGACAGTGTTGTATATTTATAAGTCCCAGCACCTTTGCCGAGTACATTTGCATATCGTCAATTTTGCGTATCATTTAATCTAATGGATCATTTTGAATACGTCATGATATGATCTTTCCATCAGTATTACATTGCACAACTCGATACGAGTCACTTACTGTATTTTAATAAGGTGGTCGGGTGTCGGTCATGAATAGGTATGAATTCCCTTTAGGTCGGTATATATACAAGTCATGATGTGGCCTTCACCAAAACGTATCAACTCTGTGTAAACGACTCAGAGTCCCGGAATATCTAAAGCGTGAACACAGAACCCCATCTTGTGAACCGAATCGACAACGATAACAAGGAAGAGCGCAGACATGCCGGACTATAAGTGAGTTACTGTGTAAGTGCAATGTGCATCGCATTCGCAACTGCAATGGCTGTGCCATAAATGACAACCTCGGTTTCGAAAGGTGCAAAACTTCCAAAATCGAGATGGGATACATTTGGAAAATGTATATCACTTGTGTCATGCAAATAATTTTGCTTTGCGTTTCCGTCTATCACATGAAGTATTACATAATCTGTCTCCCAGTTTGGTTAGCATAACTATGTGCATGTGACTCTGCGTACATTTTGTCACGGTCACCATACCAGGTTGCTCCGTTTGTCAATGTTGTGTGTCAAGTGAAATCCACACCGTCTTGCTCTCCGCATTCAACTCAACTCTGAATCTCAGTCATATACCCTGGTAGACTTTCAGCTCGTAATTCATGCTTCCCACCCATATCATGCGCACTCGCAACGACCACTTTGCTCTTCTACTGTCACGCAATGCAAAGAGAGGACATCCTAGCGTCATCGGACAACGTACTTGAGATGCCCATTTGCTTGTAGTATGATTGGCTCCTTTCTGTGCTGCAGACTGTCCCCGTAAGGTCTCGTGAGACCGAATACCCTTGAGGATTCGACATTACCACAGAACGCCTACATACATGTCGAAGACCTGTCGTTCCCTGGTGACTCTACCAGACGAACTTCTTGCAGAAGTTGTGCATCACTGCTCAGCCGAGGATGTTCTGTGCCTAGAGATGGTGAGTCGATTTCCATGGAACAGAGTTACTCAGATACATGGCAACTTTGTTTAGACATGCAAGCAACTCAGCCGTATGTGCAACACTCGCTTAGTATGGTTGAGGCTTCTCCATAATCTTGATGTTACGTGTTCGCCGAATCTTCCTCTTTACCAGTCCTGCAGGGACCTAACAGTCAACAGTCTTAAGACGATCGTGACTGATGCTGTTAAATGCTTTCATTCCTGGAAGAAGGCTGGGAATCTCCGCGTCTTTCACTGTTTGTCGTTACAAGTCGAGTCCCCACAGAACGGCTCTCAGATACCGATGATGGCGCGGCTACTTCCGGGTGGAAGACAACTTCTAATCCTCAACTCCGGTCGGCTTGAGTTGTGGTCACTGAAGACGGTCTCGTGCGTCTGGCAGGCTCCTGAATTCCACGGTGGATATCAGTGCTCGTCCTTTGACTTCCATATGTTAGAAGCGGGATCGGATATGTACATCGTTGGTGACTTTATAATTCCCGAAGACGAGACTACGTGAGTATATTCCCCGATCTCAATGACTGAAGCTATAACAAACAAAGGTATCTGCGCGTCTTTCGATATCGGATGGAGGAGGGCACAGCAGATGTTGTGTATGAAATAGGTTTGCCATATACAAATATTTTTCGTCTTTCAATACAAGATGACTTCTGTCTGGCTTTCCTTCCGCATCACTTTCAAACTGTTATCGTGAACTGGAGGACGAAGAGAGGCGTGTTTCTGACCTTTGTAGACTCGTCTGTGAGTAGCGAATTTTTACATGGATTGAATGAGCACTGTTTCACATGTTTTCCTCAGGGAGCTAACATTAATGAGGACGTACGTTCTCCACATATTCACTCAAGGTACCTGCTGGTTACCGCAAAACTACGAAATGATTTTTCCGTGGTCGCTCTCCCATTATCAATTCTTGATGTGCAATGGTCATCGGCCTCCGATTACCGAATTTGGAACACTTTCGTTTATAACCTAGAAAGAGGTTCTGTCCTTACATTATCTCCTGTGAGCAACGATGGACCATGGATGCTCACGACGCACCTCTTCACTCCAACATGGATAGAGAATGCCCCAACAGAAATATACATTGTCGGTTACGGTAATTTATGGGAGATGCCGAAGGTATTTCTCTCATTCAGAGTCCAACTCACCTCATCCTCCGAAGGAGATGATATGCCAGCGGATACTCTGCGACCCGTCCTTAAAAGCGTGACACGCTCTTCCGCACATCGTTTACCATGGGATTCGCATTGCGTCTCAAATTCAGGGCATGTCGTGTGCTTCCGAAGAAATCTTCGTTGTTTCTCGCTGTTCTCCGAGGAGGAACAACCCATGGCCGAGCTGGAATTAGATATGCACGAAGCTAGCCAGGACGAACCGGTCGTCACCGTTGAACCTTGGAGTGGGGCGCTTGTTGCCAGTACAGGGAATATTGTTCAAATAGTTCACTTGAGGTAGATGTTTTGCGATCAGGGGCTCATTTATTTGTGCACCATCCGACCAGGTCCCTGAACATGGCTCTGCAATTGAAATGACCTGTGTGAATATAGCGGTGTTTGCTGGGCATCTGAGTCGTAATCATTTGAAATTTGATGCAATCAAAACAGATGTGGGGCCTGACGACGCAAGTTTTGGGAACAAACCTGGCTGTACATTGAAATGACTTGTCGGGCGGCAATAACGTCCGCGACAGCACCGGATCACTTACATAACTTGCTCTTAATAAATGTGCTTTATCCATAATGATACCTCTGGAATTGTTAGAGCTGAACACTTATTCTGAGACAGCACAATCGAATGAATTTTTACTACAACGTATTCATTATAGAAAACGGTCAGAAAATCAGAGGAAATGTCACAGAGCAGGGAATAGAATCAATAGATGTCCTAGATGCTGATGTAATCCAGTGTATCGTCAGCGTGAGGCAAGTTAATCATAGCTGCTTATTTTAGGTATGTGAGTTAGGCGGGCACCACGATCCCGCTTCTTCCGGTTCGTCATAAGCTTAAGTCTGTCAGCGTCGAAATTATACCATATAATGGTTCGGGACGCCATCAACCGGGGCGCATCTCTGCCTGCCCCATAGACCCCTACTGACCATGGCTGACCGCCGTACTATCGCGACACGGCCAAGCAGAGACACAATCGTGAACCCGGAGGCTCTTGCGAGCCGCATTACGGTTGTCAGTAGAGACACCATCGTCACCCACGACGGTCTTGGAACTTGGGATCCTTATGCAGGCCGCGATGGTTATGTCAGCGCCACCGCGACCATTTTCGAGGACCGCAGTGAGACGAATACCATTAATGAGCAGTTCGAACTGCAATTCTATCCGGGACCGGAACAAAAAGCGCAAGATGACCATCTTGTAGAATTCGATCCAGATGATCCACTAAACCCGAAGGTATTCATCTAATCATGATGCGTACGTCCGGAGGCTTAAAATTTGATACCATTCTATTAGAACTGGTCTCGTTCATACCGCTGGTTGTTGACGGTCCTCTCAGGTGTAATAGTTCTAAATGCGTATGCGATTGTATGCTTTTTAATTTTCGTTTCGTTGTTGATTTATCTTTCGGTCAGGTCGTTCGCTTCATCTGCACCATCGGGAATTATTCCACAACTCGTCGAAGAATTTGGGATGTCCAGCGAAGTGTCCGCATTGACCATAGCCCTCTTCGTCGCTGGTTACTGCATTGGTCCAATCGTTTGGGGCCCACTTTCTGAGCAGGTGGCGTCATTCATCACTTCCAAGATGGCCGCTTGTTAAATTTCCTGCATAGATTGGTCGGCGTCCCGTTTTCATTATTTCCTTCACGGTCTACACAGGGTTCCAAATCGGAAATGCTCTTTCAAAGAACATCGCATCGATTCTCATTTTCCGTCTTCTGGGTGGCACATTCGCGGCTGCACCAATGACAAATAGCGGGTGAGTGTCTCTTGTTTAGAAGCCGACTCGCATAGTTGATTTAGTATCATAAGTGCCTTGATATCTGATATGTAGGTGTTCCATAAGGCTTGTTTGCAACGACACATTCTAACTGATGGTTTAGTTGGGATGCCGGCACTCGTGGCAAAGCAATGGCTTTATTTGCACTTGCACCGTTCGCTGGTCCAGCTCTTGGACCTATAGTTAGTGGATACATCAACAATGCCCACGTGTCATGGAGATGGCTTTTCTGGGTCCTGACGATGTTTGCTGGTGTATGCCTTGTCGGGATAATCCTGCTCATTCCTGAAACATTTGCGTGAGTTTTTTTTTGGACTCCGTACGATAATCATGGTTGACATCTTTTCAGGCCTATTATTATGGTCACAAAGGCGAAAGAGTTGCGCAAGCAGACTGGAGATGAGAAATACTATGCACCTATGGAAAAGATGCCAAAGAGAGGCGTGCTCAAGTACTTGGAGGAGACAATTGCCCGACCTTTCAAGATCCTGTTCCAAGAACCAATGCTTATCGCCATTACTGTGTATATGAGTGTAAGCCTATTCCTACACTGAATGTATGTCTTTGCTTAACCGAAGTCCCCCAGTTCGTTTATGGATGTCTATACCTCTTGTTCGAGGCATACCCCATTGTGTTCGAGGGCTTGCATCACTTCTCCACAGGTACTGGTGGTTTGATGTTCCTTCCGGTCTTCGGTGGAGGTGCTGCAGGCGTGTTTGCATATCTCTTCTATTTCAATCCTCGATATGAGCGCTTGATCGAACACTACAAGCCTCGTTCTGTACCTCCTGAAGCCCGCCTTGAGGTCGCGATTGTTGCTTCTCCGATCTTTGCCATAGGATTCTTCTGGTTCGCTTGGACTTCTTTCCCCTCTATTTCCTTCTGGGCGCCAATGATGTCCGGTCTTCTTATTGGAGCGACTGTTGTGCTGGTATTCGTAAGTTTCAGTATTTTCCCTTCTTGCACATAGAAATTAACTCTAGGAAAAAGCTTGCCTTGTTGAATTATATCGTTGATGCATACTTATTCGTTGCCGCATCGGCCCTCGCTGCCAATACGGTCGCACGGAGCTCATTCGGAGCGGCGTTCCCCCTGTTCGGACAGCAGATGTATGACGCGTTGAATCCCCGATGGGTACGGTGCAGTCTCTTCTATCAATGTCGTTATATTGACTATTTGCCACATTTTCACAGGCCTCGACGCTGATTGGCTGCATTGCATTAATAATGATCCCTATTCCGCTCGTACTACGAAGGTAAGCATGTGCTGCTTTCGGCGCGTCGAAGGTCATTTTTGCTGATTTGAATTTCTTTAATTAGATATGGACCAACGTTGCGCAAGCGCTCCAAGCACGCTCCCACACCGGCTGCGCCCGCGAAGCCCGAGAAAGACAAGCTGGACAAATTGGCCGAATCCGAAGTCTGAGCTACTCCCGCATGCCTGGGCATGCTGTCTGAGACATAGAGTGTCATATTTGCATGGATTAATTCTTTGTAATTCCTAATTATTTGCACCATTAGCAGTCTTTACTCATCAAAGCCGTGTATGTTCGCACTCCTTTCACAAGTCAGTTCGGAAACACTTTTGGTTATGTTTGTCTTCGAGTTCTCCCCTTCATTTTGTAGCTTACCATTTTGTATATTCGTGGATTAATATACTCGCATTGCTTCCATCGATTAATTTCCCCTGTTTCATACTGATGGCGACTTCATGTTAGCCGTTCTGGCGTTTGGGGAGCGCTCGTAGTTATTAATAATTCATGTATCAGCTTCGGAAACCCCATGTGGTGCTATGCTGTAAAGCCCACAGTGCTCATTTCTTGGCGCATTCTTTGCTTACACGAGAACATTTCACTGTAAATGTGGTGGTATAGAGGGGACACTGTCAACCGGATACAACCACAGAAGGCGCAACAAAGATAAGACATTCATGTGACGGTCAGCTTCCACAACTGTATTTTAAGAATACAATTCCTTAAGCTTATCTCTGTCTATTGATTCACAGCTTTGATGAACGTAACTGCCTACTTAATTTATGCTCATGCATATCAATTTCTCAAGATTAAGTATAACGAACTACGCTGATTACAATCACGACACGCTAGATTATTTTGTATTATTTTATTTTTAATTTTGGACATTTAGCTTGTTCATGTTTAATACAGCCGTATTGTCTCACTGTCCTTAAGTATTTCTATTTGATGCACGTCCGATTCCTTTTTCCCTCGACAAGCTTTATTAGCCTATGTAATATATTAGGCTTTATTTCTCCATTCTCGACTTGCCATGATAGGATTGCCATTATTTCGTGTCTTCTTAGCCCATTCCCTAGTATGCCCGCTTTACACTTAAAACCGCTCCTTTCCGTCTATAATTGTTCGCATGTAGTTAACCCTGGCATTAAAATCTCTACTATCTGTTACAGATATGGAAGTATCACTCTTCTTGAGTAAGGCTCATTATCCCGAATTTGGCGTACAATTAGGCAGCTTGGAAGTTGGAAGTACTAAATACCAATGTCCTTTATGCTCTGCCTTCGAGTCACATTTTACCCGTAGGGACCTGTGCAGGTCCATTAATTCCTCTTACCCTTAATAACTCCTTTCTCCATGTCTCTATTGCACTTATATTAGTATTATTACCATGACCTGCTTTACTGTTTAACCAAGACTATAAGTACATATGGAAAATCAACACCCTCTTCTCAACTTTAGGACAAGATGTTACACATACCTTCTTGTTGTCAAAGGTACTCTTTGCTGATACTCTTGCTTCAGTATCAACGTCTAGACAGTTACAGATAAATTGATTCACTGGATATTGGTTGCATGATTAGAAACCACTTCCACATGGCAT